AACTCGGTAGTATAAAAGCTCAAAGCAAAAGAAGTACTTCTCTAGAGTCCTTGGACAGAAACAATAAATATAAACTTCCAAGGGACATACATGCATATAATGGTATCACAAGAAGAACAAGAAATAACTGAAAAAAATTACGAAACAGAAGGTGGTTTCAGATTAGTAATGTTACCTGGTGAAGTTGTGACAGCTGGGCCTTTGGTATCAGAGGAGGTAGGAGGAGCGGGGGAAGGAGGAGGGGGAGGGGGATTATTGAGCTTGCATAAAGGTTTCTGCAACTGGGTTTTCGATATAAAGCTATGGTTTTCAGGGAGAGGCGGTGTTAGAGCAAGCTGGAGAGGTATTGGTGGAGGCAAAGGAAGAAGAGCTGGGTAGTAACCCGGGTACTGGCTATGGTTAAAGAAACCATATTGATTTGAGTATTGCAAGAGTTGGTGCTGATAGTGATAGTGATACTGATACTGATACTGGTGATAATGATGCCTGTGGGTGTTGGTCCTTCCTCTGAAAGTCCTGGTCTTGGTGGTGCATTTCTTGTTACCACTGGACTCTTCTGTCTCTTCCATGACTTCGTTGTGAGAGAGCGAAACAAAACACGGTGAGAAAAAAGGACTTTGCTTCTCATGAGAAGCAAAAGGAAAGAGAAGACATGGGCTCCTTTTGCAGATATCAATGCTGGAGTGTCTCAGAGGGAACTGTAGTTAAGGCAGAGAGAGAGAGAGAGGAGTTTGGGTTTTAGCTCCTGAGGTTCTTTGTGTCTGGTTCTGAAGAGGGGTTTAATGTTGCCGAAGTAGTGAAGTTCAAAGGAGGGTGTCTGGGCTGGCTTTAAAGAAAGTTAAAAGGCCCCACTCATAAAATGGGTAAGGATGTTTTGTAGTTATTGCAATCTGTGTGTGTCCGAAGCATATCTTAAGGTTAGTAGGGCTACTGATATACCCTTTATGATGCATTGACTAGCAGTCACTCTTTTTCCATTAAACTATCCTCGCCTCTCTTTTTTTTTTACCCTCTTCTTTCCTGATTCTGATCTGAAGTCAAATGGGGTGAGGAAAAGCATACATTTTATTAGGAGGAAATTATTGTCAGCTGATAGCTACTGGACTTTCATGTCCTTTATATCTTACAATTTATTTCTTTTTCCCTTCTCCTTATTTACTGCTGAGTATTTTAGCATCATCTTGTTGATCATCTTCATCATTGCCATCCACTTGCATTGGATGAATGGACTCGGACTAAATTGTAGCCATGTTTCATCTATTGGGACCACTTGGCGGACCAAAAAGTGGTGAGGGCTTGGAGACATGACAGAAGCACAAGCAAACCGAGCTACCCAGTTTACTTCTTGCTAGTGCTGTGTGCCTACTGCCTGCCTACAAGTAAAGCCCCTGTGCAAATTCAAAGAAATCCCAATTCCAGGCCCTAATTCTTGAATGATGTGTTTATCTACCGACAATCCTAATTACACAACCAAACCAGAGGTGGTTTTTCTTCTTGAATGATGCTTAGATCTACCAACAACGCTTTTATGGACTCTTCTGCAAAAGTTGCCCGGTATGGAAGGGGATATCCAGACCTCCTCATTCCTCATGATGTGTTGTGTGTCTAATATCCTTTGACATCAGTAGGGTTATTATGAATGCGAATGTGCTGTTCCTCCCTCTCCCCTCTCTTTCTGCGGTCGGTATTGAACATACATGCATGATACATAGGCGTGGGGAAATCACTTATCCCCTGCCTCTTCACCATAAACAAAAGCTAATTCTATCAGGCGGTAAAGATCAGTATCACCAAAACTATCCTCGAATACAAAAAGACCAGCTCAACGCTGTATTTGTTTTTGTTTTTGTCTAGCCATGATCTGTTCACATGGTATTTATTCTTACCTTCGGCCTCCCCTTTTGCCTAAACTTTTGTTAACATGATTAATGGAGGTGGGGATGAGATTGGGGGCCATTCATGCACTTGGGAAGGTGGGTCTTTCCAAATATTTTTAAGGATAAACATTGTTGGAATGTGGTGATGGGACAATATCATTAGTGTGGAGCCTAGGATAATTCAAACCATTTTTTTTCCTTTACAAATCTGGACCACATCATGCCCACTAGCATCGTCCACTGCTCTTGTTTATATGAATCCTTCAAGACTTCAAGATATTGACAAAAACAGAAGATTGGTCAAACAATCACAGTTTCCAAGTTACAATAAGGCAGACATGTGGCACCATGATATTCCTTGCTGAGCCATTGTGTCACAAGACGACTGCCTGTCTAGAGGAAAGAAGTTTTACTCAACTCGTTAACTTTGATTCGGAAGTTTGTAATTATCTTCACTGAATTAGACTCCCAAAAAAAATAATTCTATCACCACTCTCACCATAAAAGTTGTGATGATGGGTTTTTTAAAATCTTGTATTGCTTTCATTTCTCCATTTTCTATTATTGAGCTGAGTGAAAAGGATCAATTGTGATTGGTTGCATTCCCCAAAAAACATGTTCTTACCAAGATGATTTCATAGGCTTAATAATTCTTGTTGATATAACTCCATCCTTTTCCTCTAGGCATCATGCTTTCACACCAGAGATTAATGATTCCTAGTCTACCATATTGGCACTGTAAATCTTTTTTTTTTTTGTTTGACCGTTATATAAGATTAAAGAAAGGGTGCAGGTCTCAATCAGGGGGCTACGGGGAAGATAGGCCTCCTAGGAAGGAGACAGATAAAGAGAGAAAGGCATGTAAATCCAACAGTATAAATGAATCCACATGGTATAGAAGAACCGATGATGTAAGCTTTGGTAGTTAACACATGGTTTGGACCATAATCAATGTCAAAAAGTTCAGGGGTGGAAGAAGGCACGAGGCAGGCAAGAGAAGCTTTGAATGTTGATTCGGGGGCCCAAAAGCAGGACACGATGTATTCTATGATGCAAATTAAATACGGAAAAAACTATGCAAATGGGGTTGAGGAGGAGCTCTCTCTCTCTCTCTCTCTCTGAACGAGAGGGGGGGTTACAAGATAAAGTTTCCCAAAAATAAAGTTGCACTTAAAAGCGTGATTATTCAAACACCCTCTGGATCTGCTAATCAGTGAGATACATGAACACATTTTTCATGAGCTGAATCAATGGTTTGGAGTAGTTCTCACCCTTTGGACAATGAGAAGACTATATTACTGCAACCAAAATGATCAAACGAAAGCAGCACGCATGGTCAGTTAATTGCAGCCACATCTGTCCAAGATCGTTGTCCAAAGGGTTAATATTTCTGTTGATGACATTTGCATTCTCTTTCTACCTGAAGAAATTGTTTATGGAGTTGTTAGCCGGCGTGTCCTGCATCCCTAACACCTCAAAGAAATGAGGGTTTTTTTTTTTTTTTTAACTCGTAAAGCACTCAAGGGCAGCATTGCTAGATCAAAACAACCTTAAGCAATCCCCATGGAGAGCTAAGGATCCTCGGGTTATATCGCTGCGCTTTCCTAAGCAAAACCATGATTACGGTGCCTCAATTAGAGCATTTCAATGGTTTAAACCCTTTTCATGAATGGTATAACAAAAAAATTAGAGAGGACGAATTCTAATTTCCAATCATGTATTGCTGCTGGTTCAGGTAGAGATAAAACAGATACGTGTGTGTGTGTGTTCATGGCATTTACTTTCAGACATGGCATGTTCAACATTCAGGAGATATTATAATACTAAAACCAACCATTGGAAATGACATACTGAATTCTTTTTTCTTGATCGTTAATGGATGCCAAGATGGCTCCTTTTGTACCATAATGCGGTGAAAACAATCCCAACAGATGCAGTGGCCCGGTTAGTGGGTGTGGACACAAGGGGAAAGAAATTCAAAGTTACACTAAGGCTGGAAAAAAGAAGGATTGGTTAGATAGTTGGCCATGACGAAGGAAATAAAATCTATCAGCTGTCACACAGATTGTTTGCCTGTCATGCTAATGTCTCAGAATATGTCACATGAATATTTGCATTTCTATTTTATGCTCCTAGATGTTCCTTTTTATCCCCACAATGGCATCACCTCTTTTAAGTCATGCACCTTTGCAAAAAAAAAAAAAAAACACAGCATTATTGAATATGCTCTGTAGCCATTAATTTAGTGTTGAACTTGGTACCAAACAGAAACATCTTAAGGTCTCTCCCTCACTTTCTCTAGGTAAAGTTGTAAAGCAAGGTGGCAACGTTCCATAAATATGATTTAGGTAAATGGAAGGAACTAAACTTTTGACAATCTGCACCAAGACTAGGAAAAGTCTTGGATCATCACATTAATTAAAGTTAACTAGCTTCTTTATCTTACTAATTAGGTCATACAAATCTTGAATGTACGGAAAGTTGAGCAGATTGAGAAGATCCTGCTGGAAATCTATTAGAGGATCATGACCACACGCATAGTATCCGGACTATTTTTAACTCAAACCACCTTTGAAAAACTGAAGAGGCAGATATTAATCATGATTCAAACCAATAAAAGAAGCTATTAATGATGCTTAACCTCCCGATTGGTTTAAAAATTAGGCTTATGGATATTGCGGGAGCAATGGATATGCTCAAGCATATTGTGGAATGAGAGGACCAATCTTGGGTTTGGTTCCTAAATCTTATTGTAATTAGAATATGAAAATGAAAGTACAGTGTAATTATACAAGGTGATTAACCACCTAGCTTTTTTCTGGAGGCAAGCGACCTCCTTCTCCTTCTAGCAGAGCTGTTTGGTCTGCTTTAATTCGTGCACATGGGGGATACAACTCAATAATCCAAGAGGGTTAGCAAACCTGGCGCCTAAAGCATGGCGTCATGCCTTCAATTAGAATTAGATTCGTTATTGATCCCTGCATTGTATCATGAATCAAAAAGAATCAACGCTGAACTGCAATTGCTGCTTATTTTTTTGCTTAATGAAACATGAAGAATTCAGGCTAGGTTGCTAAAAAAAATAGCACTGACACTATTAGCTTATGTTATGATCAATATCCCCTAAATAATATTGAAGCAGATAGGAGGAAGATCCAGCGAGCTCCAAAGAGACAATTCACCACCTTCCTTGCTCAATGAAGAGGGAGAAGAAGACGGTCTTTCTGTTGGTGCATGTGGAATCCCAACTACTTCTTGGACCTCCTCTTTGACATATTTTCCCTTTCCATCCCTTTTCTCTTCCTCTCTAAGGTTAGAGGGCATATCATATCCACAAGTTGCCACTGCTGGCACTCCTGATCTGAATGCCAGCCTTAAACATTCGGATACCCCATTATAGGCATAAAGAGAAGCCGAGAACTTGCGTTCATGCTTTCATGATCTCTCCTAGCATTGGTGGCTCGTCCCCGTTATGTTCCTGCTCCATTGGCTCCATCATCTCCTGTGCTATGTCAAATGGAGGATGGTAGCAAGATGATCCTAATGCATCATCAAGTTGAAAATCAATCAGCCTCATATCAATCTCTTCTTCTCCTCTCCCTTCTTGCTGTTCACTTTGACCATTGCCATCAATATCACTCCAGTTATCATCTACTTCAAATGCGCCTGTTTTCCTATGATCTTCTGTGGTATAACTAGATTCAAAGCAACCACTCATGTGATCACTAGTAGTCATAGTATCAGCAGTGCTATTTGCGGTATCACTATTTTCAACGACCAGGCATTTCGAAGAAGTGATCGAACTGATTTTCTTCCACTTCTCTTGCTTTTTGCTCCTCTTGGTTAACAGGAAAAGCGGTAGTTGGTATCAAGGCATTGTTTCTAGCTTTAAGCCTTAACAGAAGGTTGACAATCTTTAGGGGAAGAGCTGGCTTTGAACGAGAAGATGGGGAGCAAGGCCAGAAATTTTCGTTCGAGTATATATTAGCTCCACGAAGCAAGCAAGCTGCTTCGTCATAAGCTCTTGCGGCTTCCCCAGCTGTATCGTAAGTCCCCAACCACACTCTAATCTCTTGAATTGTGTCTTTTATCTCTGCCACCCATCGCCCTGACGGCCGCTGCCGCACCCTAGGGTATCGTTTTCGAGCTCTCCGAACTCCATGGAGTGATCCAGCCTCCTCTATCTTTTGGTCCCAAGCCATGTTTCCATCATTGCTTACCTTTTCTTCTTCACCTTCGCTTGCCTTTCTCTCCCTCGCCATATTCCTGATCCTACGATTCTTCTCTAATTCAAACTCTTCCTGTTTTATTGACAAATAATGTCGAGGTTGCATGTAAGCTTGCTATTTGCGTTATGTGCACTGTTTTGAGAGGTGTATACAAGGGCGAGGAGATGCTGTCCACTAGCATACGAGGTTTGTGAATAGTCAGGAATCATACTGCCTGTAATTACCTCGTTGTTCCATTTTATTTCGGCTCTCACTCTATATATATATATATATACGCAATACCATACTGAGATATCCCTTTCAACAAAGAGGAGAATTGAATGCAGAGCAAATTATATGAGATCTTAGTAGAACAAGTCAAACCTCGTTCTTAATTAAGGCATATACGGGTTTTGTGTACCGATTTCTTTATCAGTTTGCTCGATATTTTGATGTTTTTTTTTTGGCAGTTTCCTTCAACTTGTATTCCATGTTACGCCGTACGCGATGATCGTGATGAGAGATTGTTTTGACAACAAATATTATATTCATCTTTCACCTTGTATACACTTTAGGCTAAAAGAATAGGACACATTCTTAAGCTTTTGAAGTTGTGTTTTATAAAAAAAATTAATTTTTTTATATTAAAAATTGTTTTAATATATTGATATTAAAAATAATTTTTTTTTAAAGAAAAAAATATTATTTTAATATATTAATAAAAGAAAAAACTTTAAACTGCAAATAAATTCACGGACAACCCTCAATCTTGCTAACGAGCGGCTGTTTCCCTTTTAAAAAGCCCTTGCAACCCCTTGAATTTACAGTTGATCAGCGTAGCCGGGGGCCAGCTCCAGTATTGGAGCTGGAGAGGTTAATGCAGTGCAGGGGTGTTTAAGAGATTTTGATTCTTTAAATGAAAATTAATAGCAAATTTGTAAATAATTTAAAAAGATTATTGATTTTTTTAGTAAAGTTTTATGAAAAATATTGTTAAAATTATGAGTTAAATCATATTGAAATCATTTTAAAAACTTAAAACTTAATAAAAATCAAACTAAAACCGAGTAAAATCAAGTAAAATAGATTAAAATCATGATTTTCAAACCGTTTCTATTATTTCAACTATACACAACATTTACCCTATTCACCAGCCTCTCCTAGTTTCTTTCTCTCAGCCGTTCAACAATCAACCACCACCAGCAGCCCTCTTTTTTTTCTTTTTTTTTCCAATCATCGACAGCGTTCTTTTCACTAGCCACTGTGAGATCCAGAGTCCAGACAACAACAGCGGCATCTCTCGACCAGCCATCGTAAGTTGTTCTGTTTATTTTTTTAATCTCCTGCAAAAAGCATCATGATCTAGAGTCTAGAGTAATTTATTTGTCAAAATTGCAGATATGTCACTGTGTCATGGGTCTCCACCGAATCCCAGGCAACTATTAATTTCTACATTAGCTACTTTCTTGAGCAGAAGTGAGTTTTTACAAAGACTTGAACTGCGTAGGAATTAAAATTTAGATGAAAGAAACTTTTGGAAGACTAAAGAACAGGAAAGGGAAAGGGAAATGAAAGGAGTCGTCTTTTTTTTTTTGTGTTGTTTCTTTCTTTATAGTAGAGACTCCCAGAATATGATCAGCTACTTTCAGAAATTTTTCTTGGAAATTTTTGGAAAATCTCTGACCTTTTTCAAAATGGGACCAGAAATATACAGAAAAATCCCCTGATTAGTTGGGATTGGAAATGAAAAGGAAGACGGCGCATGGATTGCGTATATCTCATCTGCCGACATTATGCAGCCAGATGTGGCTGTGTTCAGTCCACGAGAAAGTCTTTACAGATGCAATGCATCTGTTTGGGAACGGGAAAGTGGTGTTTATTGTATTTTTTTTTAATTTTTTATTTTTTTAAATGAAAATTGTTTATAATATTAAATTATTTTAATGTATTTTAATATACTAAAGTTAAATATAATTTTTTTTAAAAAAAAGTCATATATTTTTAAATAAAAAATAATTTAAACCATTACCATTATTATAATCCCAATCCCACCATTGACTCCCAGGTTATTTGTCATTTTCAAGAACAAAATTAGTGCCTTATTTTTTTTATGTTGCTTTGAATCTCGGGACTGTTTTTTATGTATATTTTAAAGGTGTACATGAAAAAAAAAAATTAATTTTTTTTAGTATTTTAAAATTATTTTGATATATTAGTATTAAAAATAATTTTTTAAAATTAATTATGTGAATAAAAAAAAATTGCATGATGAAGTGACGATTAACTCCCCACTGACATCGAAATCTTGCTGATTTCTTTCCCCAATTTATTTAATTTTGCTTTGCTGGAGAGCCTTTTTAAACCAACTCAATTTAACTGGCAGCATTTTTTGAAAGAGACAAAGTTTTGCCTGTGCTTTGTGTTTGAATTGATTACAATTTGGTTGGATGTTGATTGTTAGATGATAAAAATATATGAAATGAATAGTTGCATTGTATTTTTAAATTGTTTAAAGTATATATAAATTTTTATTTGAATTATATATTTTAAAATGATTTAATTAGATATATATAAAAATTCCTAATGATTTTATGGTTTAAGTGTATTTGTCAAAAATATGTATGTGACAACTTCGATTATGAACATTCATGATGTTTTTTAAAAGAAAAAGAGCACGATTTATTAAATTTTAAAGTGGTTTTTTGAAAATTGTGTATTTTTTCACACTTCACTCCTTTAAATTAAAACTTTGCATGAAACTATTTTTGACATTAAAGTTTATTTGTAAATATAATAGGTGATATTTTTTTAAGTATTTTTTATTTAAAAATATATTAAAATATTTTTATTATTATTTTTGACACCAGCAATTTAGAATATAAAAAAAAATATATTAAAATATTATTATTATTATTATTAACATCAGCAATTTAGAATATCAAAAAAAACAAAATTTTAATTTAAAGTTTTTTCAAAAGAAAAATTCAAAAATCTTGAAAAACAATGCCTTAATTTGTGTCGCAACAAAATCGAGAGAGAAGGCAGAGAGAGAGAGAAAGGGTTTTAAAAAATAGCTATTAATGGTCCTAGATTAAAATTAACCACCTTTTCAATAGAGATTGCTGGAGCACGTCGATTCTAATCTTCTTCAAATAACCGATTCCATTAATTAAAATTTATTAGGTGATAAAGAAAGCTTGACGAGAAATAATGATAAAAAATAAATATCAAGGAGGGAACAATAAAGTTTTTCAATCAATGATTATGGACTCATTGATTAAAATGTAATCTGACTGCTATGCTTTTGGATTCTCTTCTTATTTTTGTAGCTTATTGACAAATGGCAAGTAAAATGTGAACGGAGGGGAGCAGGATAAAAAAAACACTTGCATATTTTGATGAAAAATATAGTCAGCTGAAACAAGTATTCAGGATGCCTAAGCAAGAACATTGAAAGTATGTGCAGGCACCAATACAAGCACGTGCAGACTAGCATGTACAACACGCGTGCATAGAACGTGATTTTCAAGGGCACTTTCTAGTGTCCTCGAAATGAAAGAGAAATCAAATATAACATCTTGAAACGGTAGTTGATAACAGCAACCACCATTGCTATTCAGTTCAAGAGCCAACACAACGTCAACACAATCGTTCCTCACATTCAAACTCCAGCAGATGATATAAGCGGTCTGTTAAGGCTGTCAGTGTCTGCAGAGTACTGAAGCGGCATTAGAGCTGGGTCCCGATAGGCGGTGACCAATTTATCAAAGAACTCAGACATTGTAGCATCATTTTGATCTTCCATGTCCTTCTTTATCAACACCTGAAAACACTTATCCAGGTCAAATCTTGGCTGGAAGGAGCAGAAATCACAAGTACAGTCGGGAAAGGGGGGTAACAAGATAAAAGCATAAGAATTGATATACCCTTGGGCATGGTGTATTGGAATATCAACATACCTCAGCAGGATAAGCGATAAAAATTGGAAGGAAGCATTTCCGGCAGTACTCATTAAACAGAAGCGTCAGAACTGGAAGAGGAATAATTAAGGTTGATGCAAGAGGGAGCTTCTTCAGAGTAAAAATTCCCACTGCAATTGCATGCATGAGTACCAGGGAAAATACCATCGAATTGTGAGCGATAGGCCAAAATTTCCCCGCAGTTTCATACTTGGGAGCGTATACATTTATGAACTGCATCATATGTTTGAAGTGTCAATTTTTTTCCTACTTCTAATAATCTAGCACTAACATAAAAATCCTTAGAAATGAGCAATGCAGAAATACAAACTGTGAGAAAGTGTGAAAATCAATAGTCCGGGTACATAACGTGATGCAAGCACAAAATTTATTTAAATTCTATGAAGGAAGAGTATTTTAGTATTCTCCAAGTTTACTGAAAGTTTTATCTCTATCTTAGACTTTATTTATATTTAGTATTTTATTTTATTAAAATTATTAGGTTTTTCTATTCTATATAGGAATAACTATGTTAGAGATTTAGGAATCTAAGTCATTGTTGGATTTGGACTTTTAAAACACTATAAATAATTCAATCTCATCCTAAATTTACAGCACAAGTTAAAAGGACCTGTATAGGGTTTAGTTTTGCTACCGAAGCAAATATCTCTTAATAATCAATGCCACTAGTCTTGCTTTGAACCTCCAAAATCTCCATCAGGTTGTTGTTTAACAACAAAGACCTGCTTACATCTTACCTTTTGCTTCCTGGCATGAAAGGTAGGAAAAGTGGAAAGCTCTCATGTGTCATTCTTTGCCAATACATTCATTTCCTCCACCATAGTTGTTTTTTTTTCCGATTTGTATCACTTAAACTTCTTTCCAATCATGTGGAACTAATTTAAAAGACAAAGAAGATACAAAAGTTTTATATAAAAAAGATAGAGAGTCATACAAATAAAATTAGATATAAGATATCTAATACATTTTTGAAATCTTTTCTTAAAAGCTATTGGAAGATTATTAACATCAGAACTGGAAACAAAAGACTTAGGAATTGAGATGGGAGACATAGTAGAAAGAGAAGATTGTGACATTAAATTAAAAGTTGGCTCTTCGCTTGGTAAAGCATGTAAAATGGTTTTATCTATTGGCTTCTTTCGAGAGCAAGTCAAGATCTTATTCTGTTTATCTATTGAGTTATTATCTTAATTTCTCCATCCTTACTATAAGTCCTCCCTTCTTTTTCCTCGTCTATAAAGCAATCTTTTTCTTTCTCCCCCTCACTTCCATCTTCTGAATCAAGTTTAGAAATTCATAAAAGAAATAAAAACAAAATCAAATCTTCATTCATACCAATTATATCATCCCCCCTTTAAAGAAATTACTTGGTGAAATAAGCCTCACTCTTGCAAAATATCACATCCATACTAACAAATATTTTTTCTATTAGAAGGATGATAAGATCTGTAATCTTTTTTAGTGATAGAGTACCTAATAAATATACATTTTGGAGTTCTAGAATCTAATTTTCCAACTTTTTGTCAATGATCTCAAATAAAACATATACAACCAAACACTCTAAAAAAAATTATAAAAAAACAAACTCCTTGTAGAAGTTCTACAAGAGATTTAAAATCCAGGACCCTCAAGGATTTTCAATTGATAAGGTATGTTACTGTAAAGACTAAGGTATGTTACTGTAAAGACTGCATCACCCCAATAGAATTTGGGAACATCCATTATAATTTGTAAACATAAGAAAACTTGCAGCTTTTAAAAAATGTTGACTCTTTTGTTTAGCTTCACCATTCTAATTTGGTGTATCTACACAACTTATTTGATGAACAATACCATAATCAATAAAATAACCCTATAAAATTTCATCCATATATTTTGTAACATTATCATTTTTTATGGAAACATGAGTATACTTTACTTTTATTATACTTCAAATGGTGTGATTGTAACAACTAACAAAGGTGAAAAATTATCAAAAAGACAAGAAGACAAATCCACTAGACCTTAACATCATAATGAATAGTTGCAAAAGGTGTAATGCTTCTCTTATTAATAGGTGAATATATGGCATATATGTGATTTGTAAATTCAAATACATCATATAATTATGTTATTCATATTATACTATTTGGACGGAGTTGGAAAGAATATATTTAAAGCTATAAAAAAAGATGTTCTAAATGATTATGTCAATGATATAATTGTTGTTGACCAGCCATCAAAGAATCAAGTTTTAAAGCATGTCTAGTTATACTTATCTCAAACAAATTAACAAATTTATTTTTAGTAGATATAAGTCATTGTCCACTCTATCATGATCAATCGCCTTCCTCGTCTTCAACTCTTTTTAAGCACACAATAATTTTAAAAAAATAGACTTTACAATTTAAATATTTTGTTATCTTACTAGTAGACAATAAATTATTAATTTAAAACAAGGAACGCGAACTAAAGACAAGGACAAAGGAGTGTAATGAAATAAAACTTTACCAGAAATAGAAACTTTATCTTTATCCAATGAAAAAAATAATATAAAAAATATTTAGAAGATCCAGTCATGTGATCATTTGCTCTTTAATCTATAATCCATAAATTAAAATCAACTATGGTGTAACTATTTAGAGCTATAACATTTATACCTGTAAGAGAAAAGTTGAGTGAGGAATTGGATGAAGGTTTAAGCTTAGTCATCATATGTAGGGTTTATAATTCCTTAGAAAAAGTGAAAGAACTTAGTTCCCATAAGAAGCTGCAATTTTAATCATCTCAGATGTGTGAGCTTGTGACCAGGTAGGCCCAACCCTTTTTCCTCCACGTCCTCTGGTAGGATATCAATGAAGTTTCGTACATGTTTCACAATAATCATATTTCAATTACTTTTTGTTCGATGCTCCTTGATCACTAAATCAAGTTTGTTCTTTCTTAACCCATTGAAGAGAGTGAACAACCATGGCTAATATTTGTGGAATTATAAGTTGTAACATAATATTCCTCCAACTATATTTATTTTGAACATGTGAGTATGTTTACCTTAATGAAGGAAAAGGATCCTAAATCCTAATTTGAGCATACTCCATATTGAGCATATTGAGACAAGCAAGAAAGTTATAAAACCTTTTTTGTCCACTAACTTTTGAGATTTAGCTACATTATTTGGACAATAAGCTTGAAAATATTGATGGAAATACAACTCTTGTCATAAAATGTTGAGTTTTCCAAAATATTGAGCTACAATCATAAATCTATGCATCATTACCAAGTTAAGAATACATCTGACTAGCAGCACTATAAATTTTTGACATGAAATCAAGGAGCAAATACCCATGAGCAATAGAAGGCCTCATGAAGTTAACGTGCCAAGACATAACCAAGGAGTTTTCTTGCTGGCCGTGCCAAGACATAACCAAGGAGTTTTCTGAATTCCATCGATTAAGTAGTGGGTCATTTGTTGCTGACATTACTTTTTTTGTGATGTATCATACATTCTTCGAGCTTTGATAAATAATAAGCATGAATGTGACCAAGCAAGATAATTGGTTTCATCTAGTTTAACAAGACTGATATGAGGTGAGGGATTATCACTAATAGCTCCATCTCGACTTCCATTACTCTTAATAGTAGTAGTTTTTGAGTTTTCACCTGAGTTTATTTTTGTCATGTCTCACTCTACAATAGACCATCTAATTTTGACAAACTCATCTAATAATATCTTTAAAAAAAACCCAAATATCTTGATCAAACAATCCTTAAAAACTAGAGTACTTCGAAAATCAAAGCTGACCTTTTTGTCAAACCATATATCTACAAATTGGCAAAGTAAAAGACATCAATTTTTGTTTAAACCATGGGGCTTTTGTTGATGGTTAAAAGAGCTACCAAAAGTAGGAAAAAGGATGTCATCTGATATGCTTATGTCATGCTGACATAAGCATGATATCATTACTCAGCACAATACTGACTTTTGTTAGTGTTTTTAGTTCTTCGATACCACGTTCTTAGATTGAAATAAATGAAAATAGAGAAAGAAGACGGAAGGGTGTTGATAAAAAAAAAGGAAAGGAAAGAGAAAGGACGAGAAATTAAAAAAAAAATTAAAGTGTTTGTCTCACACTTTTAGACACATATACAGAGAGAGTATGTAAATAATTGCATAAATATCTGAACAAAATGACTTTTGCTAGATGACGGTTAGGTCATGTGATAGTCCACAAAGTTTAGCGGAGATGATGACTCGATTGTCAAAATTAAAAAAATCAGACACTTAAATGAACAAAATTAAGAATTAGACAATCAATTGTAAAACCAGATAAGTTCAAGCACTCAAAATCTTGTTAAATCATTTGCTTTTGATTGCGTGATTCAAACCCTTAAATGCTCATCCATATTAAACAACCTCTCACGCATATACCTAATCAACCCTACAACAATTACCTATTAAAGATTCGACCTCAAATCTCTTAAAACATTGTTCAAGCCACCTTGCATCAGAATGACAGAGGAAAATTTACAGACTCGTGCTTGCAGCTACCCACACTTCCATTATAATGATTACTTTCCCAATATCTGCTACGAATAGGAATGAGCTAAGACCACAGTGATTCTGACTGGTCGATTGGGCTCCATTCCAAGTTGTAACCTTTGCTGATATATAAAGGAAATACCCCTCCTTCAAATTTTCATATTCAACAGAATTGCATTGAGCATATAAATATGAATATGCATATTGTATTTTTACTAATTCTAAAAATATTTTAGTGTTTCCAAACTGTAACTGTCTTTTACCATGATAAAATTCTGAAACTACATAACAACAAAGCAACCTACCTAATATGATACATTTCGAAGGAAAAATAATTCATATTATAAAAGGTATGATAAATAAAATAAAATAAGAAAAGAAACCTGGTTACGGAAGATGATGTAAGCGAGACAGAGATACACCAGAAGGAAGGGCAGAATGATCGGAGCTAGGAAGAAATACGTAATGCCAAGAAGTCCAAAGAAAAGAATCCTCGGAATGTCCTTGTGATAAGGAATAGATGGAACTTCAATTCCTTCATCCGTACTTTTAGCACAACACTTTGTTGTTAGATGGGAAATTAGAGGGAATATGCGAGCAAGTTCTGATGTAGTGCTCGTCCATCCAGAAGTGACAACATAAGCAATGAAAAATGACGCCTACAAAAAATAAAATTTGTCAATCAGACAATAGCTATCATGAATCTTTTAATCGGCTATTTCAGTCCTCAAAGCGAGAGGCCACTGAATTTTGTTCAGTTATCAGTCGTTGAAGTTGTTTTCACCCCTCCAGTAGACAAAATGCCCTCAGATTATCTCCTTTCACTTCAAAGAAATTCATTTGTATTTTGTTTTTTAGTGTCTTTCCAGTATTGAGAAGAGGATTGGAGAGCAATGCGAGATATAATTGATAGAAAGAATGAGTATTCAGCAAACATGTTAGGTTTCTCTGCTTTCAAAAACACACAATTCTCTCTCGTAACAAATTGAAAATTTTGTAATAATATTTCAGTAACACACACTCACCTGAGCTGGAACAGCAACAGCCAACTTTGCAGGAATATTCTTGGGGTCAAGAAAGATGGAAAACTGATAAAATATGGACCCAGAAAATGCAGTGGCGAAGAAGATGTTCCATATTGTGAACCAGAGTACTTTCTTACATGCACTCTTTTCTATCATGCTATGAGAAATGTATCCTTGAATGGAGGAAAGGAACACCATGATTGGGGCCACGGCCTTCAGGAACAACTGAAGAATCAGACTAGGAAGATATCCTGTAATCACTTGACTGACAAATGATCTGCGAGTAAGATCACAACATTTAGTATCTTGCATCGTTGTGGAAGAATAAATCCAGCTATAATGGAGTAATTGTTATGAATCACCTCGATGATATGTGTAAAAGAAGAAAAACAACTTTTCTAATCCCAACCGAAACAACAGTAGAAATAATTCAACGTACTCTTTCTATCTGTTAGCACATTTCAGATATGTCTTGTGTCAATTTGGGGAGAGCATGCTTTGAAAAGTGAAAGAGATACAATATAAACGCCTTGAAATACGCTTTGAGAAACATGGCTCAACATTGAACTCTGAAAACCCACTGGAAAAGGTTGCTGCAGTTTATCAAGGAAATACTTTTCTTCCAAAATCACTAAAAAAGTGAACTTAATGCACTGATTATTGATAATCTAGAGCAGCACATGACACCAAATGCCATATCAATCAATTGAAGCATCCAATAAGAGGGTTCCAATGGCAATAGAAGATCCCTGGAGAAATTACATATGAAAAACTCTGAATTATTCTGTTGATACTGTTCAGCATAAATCCGTACTATTCATGATCCTGGCCACCCATTGAAATCTTATCATATAGACATTCATGAAATGGATACCAGAGGCAAGTGCTCCAGGACATACTCTAAAATACCAGTGGCCATTCTTTGCTGACAGTACCAATGGACCACTTCAATTCATAGTAGGAAAAAAGTAGATGGCAAGAGAGAGTGAGAGGTTTTCAAGTCGATGAGGGTTGAATTGTCAAGGATGATATGATGGCAACACTGATAGTACAAAGACTAGAGATCATTACTTACATGTCTAGAATGCTTTTCAGGAATGGAAACCAAACTTCCAGCTGATTCAGGTTAGTGAGACCTTGTACAACTAACACAGGAATAAGGAACAAAATTGTAAGAAGAATACATGCAACTACAACCACAAGCTTAGAAATCCATCTTCGCATGAATGATGATGAAAGAAAAGGCCAGTAGACATCATCAGGTGCAGGAGCTTCTTCTGTGAGCCAATGTGTGGGGTTGATTGATTGTTGCAGATGGAAAACAGTGGAAGCACCATACCGCGACTTGAATGACACAAAGGCAGCATGAGTATCCTTTAACAAGAGAAAGAACGTAAATTAATAGCATGCACCACCACAACACCAAAAAGGTTCAAAAAGAAAATCTAAAGAAACTAATCAAAAGGAGTGGATAACAATGGCAAGAATACACATTATGGGTCAGCACAACACCAAAAAAGTATAAAAAGAAAATCTAAAGAAACTAAGCAGAAAGCGTGGCAATCAATGACAAGAATACACGTTATGGTCATCAGCTTGATTTTGGAAAACAAGGTTTTCATAGTCATCCTCTACCTGAAGATGATGAGTTAATATGAAACATTCCACTCAGAGTACAATGGCCGCTACCATGAGACTACAAGTACTTCAGAAAAATCAAAGTACTGCAAAGTATCAGGTTGATTAGTGCTTTAGAGCTGTGATGAAAATGAATTCCAAAATAAACCATCCAAAACTGGTATAAGCAAGTACACAAGCATGTATTTGAGCACACCTAGACTCTGGAAAAAAAAAATGGTGCACTGACACGGAATGTTATTTCCTTTGAGGAAGCGGGTTGAAGAAGAGAGGGTAGGGTTGTTATCTTTCTTTGGGGTTGGGTGGGAGAGGAAAGGGCAGGGTTGTCATTTGCATTTCCCCATGAGCTCTAAAACTGACAGAAACATTCAAGGACTGATTACTTCAAATCTGTGCTTCAAAATTTTGACTTGGGTTATTCTTTGGCAATATTACAATTTCACAAAACTTAATCTCCAGCAAATTCTTAACAGGAGAACAAAATTCAACCAACTTCCTTACTTGTTTTAATCGAGAGAAAAATCATGTTGACCAGCAATATCATTCAAGCATGGCTACCTTTTATATTTTGAGAACAAATAAATGGTACTGTATGCTATAAACATTTTGATTCGTGAATAACACTATTTATCAAGATACATGCAAATGCATTTTACAACTTAACATTGTTCAATGTTACTAAATTTGATACTGGTGATGCACACCACATTTTAAAGGATTTCAACACCTTCATGCATATTTGATGGTCATTTTAACTGTTGAACAAGGTATAAATTTGACAATTAAAGAATGTCAGTAGAAGTAAAATAATAGTGAAAGGAGCACCACATACCTCTGCCAATAACGCCTCTGATTGCTTCAATCTCACATTCTGCTCTAAGTCATCTAACCTCTTCCCATAATGATCCAAAAGATCAACCTTATGTCCACACAATCCAACTCGCTTGTACTTCTGTTCAGATGGTTCTAATTGCAAGTGAAGAAGCCTCTTGTACAATTTGTTTGCATCTTTCTGAACCCCAAGGAAAATACGAGGAAATAAATGCAAAGTAATTTAAAGGGAGCTTAGATATATAGAAAAAGGGAAAGAGAAAAACATTGGTGACAATGGTGAGGGAGGAAACAGACATTACTTACAATGAGGCTCTGAACTTTGCTAGTTCGACGAAGAACTGTATGTGAAAGATATGTGGTAGGGTGATACTCTGTAAAGAAGCTCTCAACACTGTCACTGACACTGCTTCCAACTGAGACAGGGATATTGCGAACTAAAATAGTGAACTGATGTGGCTGAGGTTTGGCTGAATAAAAATATGCGATCCTTTTTGAAGAGATATAGTTATATTCCTGCAGAATCAAATACCCATCAGCAGCTGTGTATGTATCAAGAAATAACTTATTAATACATTTTATCAGTTCATTATGAGAGAATTATAATCTAAACCCTGCTAAATAATTGACAGTCTCCTGTCCATACAAACAATGTGTATAGATCTGCACCAAAATATAAATCTGATTTATCCCCTGATCAATGAAAATGGAAAACTTACATTCACAGTCCTAGGCAAAAGGATTTGAAGGTGGTCAAATTCTGCTAAAATAAGGATTAACAATAAGATATAACCGCGTAAAATGGAACTTACATGATACAGTAGATAGCATATGAAAATAGTGACAACATATACAGCAGAGAAGTGAATCCATAACCTACAAAAATGGCCAAAATACGTGAGTTTCTCTACACAGTACACATAAACTTGCATAGTAAAGTAGACAGAAGATGAAAAAAATGACAATATATACAACAGAGAAGTGAACCCATAACCTGCTAAAAAATTGACAAAATGCACGACTCCCTCTACACAGTACACTATCCTTACCATAAGAATATTACACTGCCTAACATCTTGGATGTGTTACAAAGTTAATTCATTTCCAGGCCCTCACCAAAGCATAAATAAGTTAATGTTTGATGTGAAATCAAATTGTCCTACTCGGATTTGCTTCAAATTAACTGTGTATAGGAATTATGTAATAAGTGGATTCTTAATTCTAGATGAAAACTATTTTATGAAGCCCAAATGAGCTAACACCATTCAGACAAATGAGTAGCATTTTCCAGGCAAATATGTCATTTGGATGGAAACCACGCGAATAGTTTTAGCATGTTAGAACTTCTTAAATAAATTGACTGCTCATGTTAAAGCCAGATTTGCAGATCATACTTACAACTTTGAGCCACTATTTACATTTGAAATGGTAAATACGTCCAGTGAGCTAGTATACAAATCAGCAAAATCAATTTGGTGAAGCTCAGTCCCCGAACAGTTCACTGGGAGAAGAATAAGTATTCCTATTATCCCAGTGAATGAAAACACTTTCAAACTGCAGTATTCAGATAAAGCAAGAAAAAATAAGGCTTTGTTTAATGGCAGATCAAAAAGCTTCCTTGAGTATGACTAGAATTACCAGAAAGTTATCATTCGCATGTACACCACAGCATCCAAGCCAGAAGAAGATAGCATTTCCTCTTCAGATAGCTTCCATGCCTTTGACAACCAACCAGCAGATGGTAATAGCCTTTCAAGATTGAAACGGCTTCCCTGTTTAGAACTCCCTTCCGCGAGCAAGCGCGGTACAAAAACTTCATAATAACTTGGTTGTTTCTTCAATATAGAATACAGTACCAGGAATATAACACATAGAGCAGAGTTTATCCCCACTGATGTTAGAATAGCCGAAACGAGCATTTCAGCAGACCAATCTCAAAACCTCGAGAAAGACGAACGAAATTCTACACCGCAGCAAGAACAGGGACAAATATTTAACACCCTGAGAAAATTGCACTCTAATTACAGTTAGACATGATAATCACTTTGTTACTTCAAATTAATCATGGATTAATATGACTTAATTACCCTGCTCCTCTCACTCCTGGTCGAAGCTACCATCGATTAAAAATAAAATAAATCTAATGCAAAACTTGATTAATTTTGATTACTTTCATAAAGTTGATCGAGAAGTAAAAAAAATGATGCCACGGAAAAGAAACCTACATAAGAAAATCGAAAGCAAGAAAAAATGTCAGCGGAGAAAATCCACACCTCGTGCTGTTTGGATTCTGCTGCAGCAGCAGCTGCTTGAAACAGAAGCAAAACGTTCTTCTGAGTAAAGAATTCAAAAACAAATCTAACGTGAGGTGCAGTCGTAAGTTCTTAACAGTAGAGTGGAGACTTGCATCAGTAGAATCTGGTACTGTTCTGGAGAGATCGTTGTGAGCAGCTAAACCGTGTATACTGAGATTGCTTATTTGAGTTTGTTGAGCTTGATTAATTGCCAGTAATACCCCTGCTGGTATCATGTTCAGTTGTTCATTGCTTGTCAAGACGGCCAGTAAAACGCAAATGACGGGTGATCGATGCGTTTGTTTGGTGGTGTGAGACAGGGATGATATGGGGATTTACCGAGGGAAAGGGAGGAACGGCTGGTAGTCAACTTTGAGCGTCGACACTAACTAGTAAGTAGCAACTACTATTCCCAGTCGACACTCCTTTGAGCGTCGTCATCTAGGGACCACGTGTTTCCTTCTTTCTCTCTTTATAGAGCACGGCTTGAGCGGTGCTTCCATGGAGAAACGAAAAAACAATAAACCTCACCTTTAATTTGCGTTTAGAATTGTAATAGGAATAATAATTTAAAATATTTTTTATTTAAAAATATATTAGAATAATATTTTTATATTTTAAAATTTATTTTCAACATCAATACATTAGAATAATCTCAAACTATAAAACAAAAATATTTTAAATAAAAATAATTAAATTTGAAAAAACTTGTTTCACACTATATTCTCAAACAGATTACTTTGTGAAAGGTCAAAAAAAGGTTTTGCCCTTTGAATGGTTTTTTTTAAGTAAGAAAACAACAATATGCTCTCATGTCGTTCAAGACTTTATTTAAATAAAAAAAATAAGTATATATTTAGCTAAGGTTGCATTCAGTTTTTCTTAGTTTTTAATGAAAATATAAAATAAAAAAAATATCTTAGTTTTTAATGAAAATATAAAATAATAAAAAATAAAAAAAAAAGTATTAAATATGGATGGCATGTCATAAAGTTTTCAAAAAAAGTATTTTTGTTTTTAAATTTTAAAAATCACACAAATTATACAATTTTATTATCTTGGTACCCTTTCAATTCAATTTTTATGCAAAAATTTATTTTTATTATTTTTTAGTTCTTAGTTGAAAGGGAAGAAAAAAATCATTGGATCCCATGATAAAAAGAAAAAAGTATCATTGACACTGACTTGAACTATAAAAATAAATGATATTTGTGTCAAATGATTTTATTTGACGAGAAAAAATCATATTATGTGTTTTTCATCTTTAAAGCTCGTAAAAAAAATCTGGACTCGGGCTGATTTTTGGTTTTTTAGATTTTTTTAAAGTTTATTGATGTCATATGTAGGTTTATCATGATTTGTACAATATTTTATAGATGTTCTGGGTAAAAAGTTAATTAAAGAAACTGGTATTTAAATAAAAAAATAAAATTTAAACTTTAATTTTCAGGCCACTATAATAATCAATTTCTAGGTAAATCAAATGATGTATCATCTATTTTTTAAACAAAAATTGGATGGATGACATGTCATCCTCGTCGATTACAAAAAACATAAAATCAAAGCCCATTCGCATAGCCTTACTTCAACCAACTTAACGCTACTTGACCCTTGTTTTTTTTTTTTCCTTATTTTTTCAAGTTAATGATTACTTTTTATGGTTTTTTCTGTGTTTTTTAAATTTATATTTAAAATAGCATGTATTTTCCCTTTTATTTTATTTAGAAAGTATCTTTTGAATAAAGATTATTTTAACTGTATATTTAAATTTAATTTTTTTTTCTAATTCATCTGTAATTTTTTTAACTTATATATGAATGAAGTTTATTTTTTAAATAGAAAAATATTTTAAGATAATAATTATAACACACGTAGCCTCTTCTCCCATTTTATTTTACCTGATTAGTTCAATTGTGTTTTTATTTCTATCACTGTTTACTTGGACAAAAAATTATTTTAATAAAAAATATAATAAACACAATTAAATAAATATTTTTATCTTTTAAAATAAAATATTTTTATATACATACATTTCTTGAATTTTTAAGTTTTATTTTCAAGTATGATTAATACTTTCTTATCTATTTATTTGCACTCATAGTCTTAATTATTCGATTACATGTATATATAATTTTTTTTATTTGAACTTGAATTTTAAAACTATAGAAATGTTTTGAAAAAATCTGTATATGTTATTTATTTATAAAAAATAAAAATATTTTATATATAACAAAGTACAAATCATATAACTAGCTATGACCTAAATATATAATATACTAATCCCTGCATGAAGAAATATTTAATTGCAACAGCGACTGCAATCATTCTTGAACAGTGTTTAGTATAACAATAACTGTTATTTTTAAAAATATTTTTTATTTAAAAATATATTAAAATAATATTTTTTATTATTTTAAAATTATTTTTAATATAAACTATCAAAATAATAAAACAAAAGTTTTTTAAAATTCTTTCATAAAACATGATTTCAAACGAAATTCCAAATAGCGCGAAATATAGCATCAATGCAAAAGCGCGGGTCGAAGCCAAGGAGCGGCGCCGTCCATCGTATCTAACGAGAGGGCTAATTTCGTCAATGTGCCAGGAGACTGGTGGGATTCCATTCAAATCCTTTGCCTACCGCGCAAAACCATTTTCCGCTTTTTTTGCGCGTTTGTGTTTGTTTAAAACGCAGCAATACAATCATTTGTAATTGATAAAATATTATTTATTGTTTATAAAATCTATTATAATTTATTTTTAAAATGCAGTGTCGATAAAAATATCCATGAAAATACTCCTTTATTTTCCTATACAAGACTATATTTTTGAAATATACAGGCTATATTTATTTTTATATTTTTAAAATATTTTTTAAAAACTTATTATTTTTTTACTTTAAATTATTTTTTATATTTTTAAATTATTTTGATGTGTTAATATTAAAAATAATTTTTAAAAAAATAAAAAAATTATTTAAATATATTTTCAAGTAAAAAATACTTTGAAAAACAATTATATCATACTTTCAAACAAAAAAGTTAGGTAACAAAACAATATAAAAATTTAATTTTAAATATAGTCAAACAACGGAACAATATAAAATTTTAAATTTAATTTTTTTAATAATAAAAATTCAAATTATCATAATAAAATTATATAATTCTATGATAGTAGATATCTTATAAAGTGGGCTCTAATTTATAATTATGTTGGTTAGATTTATAATTGTATGTTCCTACAATTGTTTTATATTTTTATAAAATTTTTATTTTTTATTTCTTGAAATTCATTAATGGAAATTTACCATGTAAGATTAATATGTTAGATCAAAGTATATGAATAAATATGGAAGTTATAAAATATTAAAAAAACAAAATTAAAAAAAAATCGTCAAACTTTCTGCTTGGACATGTTCGCGCGTCCCTAAATTATCCCCAGTCTTGTCTCAAAAATCAAAGAAAGAAAAAGGTTTTTTTTGTCTTTTCATTTTTCTAACCAAACAAGCTCCGGTTCCGAATTTTAGTTCTCTCTTTTGTGATGAACATGAAAGCAAATACAACCTTCGAGATTGTTGCAAGAACCTGGGACAGAAACGAAACTTATGAAAGGGACCAAAATAAGTTCGAAACCTTGCGAAAATATTGTTAAAAAACGAGGTCGTAAAAGAAGAACGCAATATACAAATAAAAGAAAAGGAAAAACAGCTGATTACCATAACATAAAAGAGAACAAAGCTGGGTCAAGAAATTGCAACCCGATCCAAATTAGGAGGGGAACATGGGTTACCTTCCATCCATCGTGCAGTTACTGTAACTTTCTTTAGCTGAAAAAAATTAAAAATCCGAAGCACTCTTATTTACACCCGGCCTTGAAACTTCATGGGCTCTAGGCTCCCCAAAAACAGCCCACGAAGGGCATCCCATCCAAATAAAAAAATCAAAGACTGCTTCATCTCCCCCACGCCTCTCCAGCACAGCCAGGAAAAGCAGACGGACACGATCTACTCACGAACAAGCTCGAACTTCCCAATCACAGGCACGCGCAACTTCTTACACTTTCTCTTTCTGCATCCTTTCAATCTCCCTTACTATCCCTTACTATTTTCTATCTGTATTTTTTTTTACTTGTCCCTGTTGTATCCCTAATTTTAGATTTTTCCTAGCTTTCAATTTTTTTTAATAAAAAAGGCAGGGATTTTTTATCCTTTTTCAATCTAAATCTCCCAATTCAAAATTTTTATTATTTTTCTTGTAGGTTGTGGGATTGATTTCGGTAGTAATTGGTATTACGGTGCAGAATGCCTTTTGCTCTGAAAATAATTTTTTTCCAGATTTTTTTTTAATATTACAATGTTAAAATCATCAAAAATATTTTTAAAAATATCAATTTGATATTTTTCGGGACAAATATACTTTTAAAATTCACCTGAAAACACAATATCAAACATACACAAAATGCGCGCGCGCGCATATTGTTAGTCTATCGCTTCCATTTGTAGCTAATTAGTACTTGGCTTGGCCTTGGTACGATTTGAACGCAGGGCTTTAGTCTTGACCTATCAGGGTTGAGTTATTATGAATTGAAATCTTAAGTTAGTTGATTAATTAAGTTGTTACTTGTCACGTAATTGGGGGAGGTTGGGGTTTGATTAAAGTCTGTGTTTGAGTGTCGTTCGTAATGGACATATAGTGCACGATTTGAGGTTTTGTTTATGATTGATGGATAAACAGAGTGGAGGGATGAAAAAAATGTCAGGAAGTGATTAAGCTCCTCTTTTTGCTTGCTCTATCTCAACAGCCACAGTAAATTACATGTTTAGCGGAAACTATTATTATTTAATTTTTTGATAGTTATATACTATCACAAAAAAAGTTTTCTTTTAATATTTCCAACGATAAACTGGAGCATATATATATATATATTACGGTAACATAAATTTGAAATTTTCCAATGACAAATGTCAATAATTTATTTCCAAGAATATTTTACAAATCAATGTTTATGTAAAATATTTTTCAAATCAGCTCAACTAGCAGCCCTTCCTAAAA